AGTGTGTGGCCCACTGTATCACCAGGCCCCTCCCTTAGAGGGTGCGAGGTGCGTCTGACCGACCATTGTGAAGGCCATCACCATTTTTCTGAGGGAATCTGTTCCTTTGGAATTAAGGTCCCAGCCCCCAGGGTTGTGACTTTAGCAAGGCTTTCCAGTGAAGCCGAGTAAAATCAAGGCAAGTTCAGTCAGAAGGCAACAAACTTGTGTGGAAGCAAGACAGAACCTGACTTAGGAAACCACTTTCTGGTGACGAGGGAGGCTGCAAATAAGAAGACAAAGCAAGGGACTTTGAAGTGGAATCTGGGCTAAACAGTGATACACAAATAATAAAGCATACAGCGCGGGAAGGGGTGGATCGGCACTTTTAGGCCCATACTGCGCTCGATGAGGAAAGGAACACCCATTACTCAGAAGGCCATTCCAGGTGTCTGTTGCCCAGACGGTAAGCACACGACTCTCATGTGAACCGTTGGTCTAGGCCCTGGGAGGTCTCTCCGGGTGTCTAAACTTGGATACAAGGCTTTGAACCTGCTCAGTCATGACTGAGGCAGTGAAGACAGAACAGGCCCAAATTTGTCAAATGTGGGTCCACTGGGATGGGAGACAAATGACAGGGTGCAGCCAGCCCTGGATTGGGCGACTCCAAGAAGTCTGGAGAGCCCTTTCAGGATCCCATGCAGGAGAGGGGGCTACTACCAGGATTGTGGAGAGGGGCACAGTGAGAGGGGCAGCCAGTCGCCATCTTTGAGTCGAACACTGTTTGTTTCTACCTTTGCTGGCTAAGAAGTTTGGTTGCTATGCAAGACCACACACTACCCCTATCTTCTGAATGGGTGGGTGATTCCCAGCAGGTAGTGGACCCGTGATTTGACAAATTTGGGTTTGTCCTAGTGTTGCTTCATCCGCCATGACTAATCTGGGAAGAACCCATTCCGAGCCCTCCTTCTACCTCACTGAGCTCCTTCTGAACATTACTGTTTTGGTCCATGAGATGCAGAGGGAATTGATCAGACATTCCAACCTAATAGGGCACACAGCTAAAGAGAAGTTAACCCTGTGTGTCAGCAGACAAGTGTCAAGACATTGTAACAGACAGACTCCACACCTCTGGGTGATCAAAATACATGATTCTGGGTGAGTCTGAAAAGACACTAGAGTAATCTTGAAAGCATTTTCTCTCTTGGGCATTACTTTTGCTCTTAGGTCAAAAACCAGAAGATCCTTTCTACTTCCCTCTTTCAAAACATCTCAATTTTTTGGCGTAAAGACACTGTCTGTTAATTGCCCTTGACAAATACATAACCCAACCCCAAGGTTTTTATTTTTTTAAATCTTTGGCAAAGAAGGTTCATCTTCAAAATCATTGTATCTGCTCCATTTCTGACTTTCAGACAACCAGCCATTTCCTAAGACTTCCAGTAACCGCATTTTCTACTTGGTGTTCTGCCTTCTGACTTGCAACTCTCCAAGTGACACCTGAAAGGCTAAAGGCTTCTCGGTAGCATCTTCATTATCACCTGATGTGAATGTCACTAGATGACTCTTCAGAGCGCTCACTGACATATATCTCCTTCTTTCTTCACTGAAAACTCTAAAAGGTATTTTTTTAAGTGAATTGTAACAAAACGAAAAATGATCCTAGGGGCTAAAACCTTTTGGCCAATGCCCAAGTTTTCCTCTCTCCACCTGTTTCAGAAGCCAAAGACCTGAGAGCTCTGGACACTGTGGGCTGAAAAACTGTCCCTTACTCTTAGGCACCTCATTAACTACTTTATTATCAAAGAAGCAATCTCCTACCACTTGGTCAATTCCAATTCAGAGGACCCCCTGCCCTCAGGCTTGGTGTTGAGTTTCATGGGTCCACAATGGCACCTTCACCTTCGGACGCAGTGGATAGTCCTTCTGTGGAGTGTGGTGCCTCCATGGCAGAGCCCCGGGCAGACTGTTGACGTCTGACAAAAGGTCTGTCTTTGGAGGGCAGGCCGATAGACCACGGGTCTGAGGGAGCACCTTGGGAGGGGAAGGCAGCTGTGTCAAGCCGTCAGGCTGTGGGAGCACCCCGGGGTCCAGGCCGGCTGGTCCTGCGCTGGTGGCCAGCACAAGCTACCCAGCCTCAGACTGAGTTTCCCAGGCATCAGGGCACCTTCACCCACTCAGTCACTGTTAGTCCGAGCTTGGGTGGGCGTGGACAGGCCTGTCCCTGTGGTTTCGGCCGGTTACAGAAAGGCTACAATTTCAGCACCAGGAAGAACTGAGTCTTTCTGGAAGCAGATGTGTAGGGGTTTGAGTCTCTCGACTGGAGAGAAGTGTTGCCCCTGCTGGGTAAGCGGCACTCACTGGCGCTTGGAGAGGCCGACGCTGACACTGAGCAGGAAGGTGGTCTGGTGGGTGTGAGGGGAGCTGCCAGGGACCCTTCCCCAGATGGAAGCTGCTTCTCAGGTTGGCTCCTGAACTGAGTAAATGTCCCAGTGTTCCTTCTCTCAAGGGTTCCCATAAATGCACAAAGAAACACGCTACAGGCAATCCAAACATCAGTAACAGTAACAACTGCAATGAAGTTCAACACGTGTTATCTGGCTGAATCCTGAAGTCCATGAAATTTTTACCAAATAATGAATTGGCTGACACCAGAATATGCTGAAGAACCAAATTGATGTTAGAGAGCTTGGTAAAGGCAGGGAGAAACCGAGCACACATCCGGCCTTTCTAAAATGACCCCCACCTGGCAGGTCTGAGGCTGCCGTGGGGGGTCAGCAGCCAGGGGCAGAGCAGCCCAGCACCAGCCAGCTGGGAATGTCCCCCTCCAGAAGGTGACAAAAGCTCTAGATCTGCCCCCCCCCCCCCAAGCCAGTTACGAACACACTCACCAGCCCAGCCTGGCTACCGCTGGGTCCTTTACAAAAAAGACACGGATTCTTCTAATTCTAGCTGTCAGATGACGAGCAAATGCTAGTATGTGATGATTTTGGGGCACCAGTGGTCTAAGGGCAGTAGACTCAGAGTTTCCACTGCTGCTAGCATCACCAAAGAGACAACCTGCTGCTTTGTGGTCCCTGATGAAAACACAACCAGCCATGATGGGGCCCAATCGCATCCAATCCATACCTAACATGCTAACAGAGACACACAAGACAGAGGACACGTTAGATCCAGGCTACAGGGAGCTTTTGAGGTCAAACCACTCTTATTTGTTCAATAAATAAACTGAAAAAAAAAAAAAAAGTTTAAAGGTAAATCTAGACTTCACGGACATCATCACATCAACCAAAGTGTGAACATATTTGGCTCTTAATTAAAATGTAAAACTGTAAAAACGAAATATTTATAATCATTATGTGGTGGTTAAAATGTGAAAACTGATTAGATGATATTATACAACTTCAGTCATGTGAATTACACTGTGGTTATGTTTTCCTTTTAAAGATACGTATGAATACTGGAGCATTATTCACAACAGTCGAAAGGGGGAGCCAATTCACGTGTGCGTCAACAGATAGACACAGAAACAACATGCATGACATCCACACACCTGGGTGTTATTCAGATACACGCCACAACACGGACAACCCTGACAACACCCTGCTATAGTCGGGGTCTGACAAAGGAAAGATCTACAACAGGCAAACACAAAGAGACCAGAGCCGACTAGGGGCCAACAGAGGTGACTGGGAGGGGAGAGGAACTCTTGCTGAAGAAGAGGTCTGAGGGTCTGAAAACTTAGAAATCACACAGTGATTACAGCTAATGAACTGCACACTTAGAAGTGGTTACAATGGAACATTGTGTATTTGACCACAAGTTCCACACTAAAATATCTACAGATGAAATGGCTGTCTAGAGTTTGCTTCAACATGAAGGGCACGTAGGTCACACAAGGCTGCTATGGTATGTCTGCTTCCGTGTGTACTTGAAATGTTCTATAATTAAGAATGAATGTTGTGGTCTAAGTTTCACAAGCATTTTCCCAGATAAATGGAAAGAGCTAAAGCAGGGAATGGCATAGGAGGACAAACTCAAAAGCCCCCATGCTTGCCTGAGTGGACCCTGAGAGTGTAGCTGCCCCGCTGGGCCTCCCTGGCTGTGATCTTTTCAACAGCAGACGTCCACACCTTTGTGCTGTGGAGCCAGCCACTGGGTGAATTTGAACTGCTGATCTTTTGGTTAACAGCCACAGTTGCCCCTTGTTAAAACATCGGAGACCCTCCCCACAAGGCGTTCTGTAATCCCACCCACTCAGGATGCTCGGGCCCATGGGTGGGACCAGCTGTGTGCAGGCGCCAACTCGCGGCAGCAACGCACTAGGGAGGAGACAGCTACAAAAAGGACTTTTATTAAATGAAAGGAAGGTCTGCTCAGTGGGTCAAATATGAAACAGATATACAAACACCTGACACTCGATCTCTCAGACACAAAACACTCTCTGAAGCCACCGATGCCCCAGACAGGGGTCCAGAGGCAGTCAACCTGCAACAAAGCTACAAAGCGAGTTCTCAGAGCTGCTGGTGTGTGGCCTGGGCCCGAGCGCAGCCTGGTGCACGTTCTGGGCAGTGTGGGGCGTTGCTAGGCCTGTACACTGTTCTCAGCACTGACACTTGTTTCACTGAAAAGTCCTTTTGTACCCCAACCACTTGACTTGTGAAAAAAGAAATGATGATCAGGTTCTTACCTACTGCTTTTCATGTCTTTCTGATCCCCCAACTTTCTTACTCTAAAACAAATGTTGTGGCATTTAAAGGACCCCTCTCCAAACCAATCCAAACCACTTTACTACCGATGACAGGTCGTGGGGCCCAGCCCCTATGGGGCTCACAGCGTCTTTGGCATAGAGCATACCAGCTCCCCTTTACTTAAACACTCGTCACTTAAAAAAGCATACTTTCCTGTAGTAAAACTTGTTAAAAACACCGATTTCTGTAAAATAGTGTGTGCCTGTGTGAATAGCTGTGTCTTTCTAGGAGAAGAGGAGCCGGCGCTCAGCTGGCTGTGGCTAGGTACAGTCACATGAAGTCGCTCAGCTCAGCCTCTAGGGCCGCAGCCATCTCATCGGCCTCCGAGCTGCTGCCCTCCTCGTTGCTGGACTCCTTGCTGGAATCACTGGCCGCATCCTCTTCGTTCAGCTTCCTCTTGTGGCCCCTACAGGAGAAGCAGACCGGAGCGGCTCAGTGGGGAGGGAGGTCTGTGGGGGTGACTATGGCTGACCCCACAAGGCTCCCCCAGAGTCCAGAGGGGAGGGCAGTTCACCCACCCTGGGGGTTCCTACCAGGTGGGAGGCAAACCTTTGCTGCTGGTTAGATGATGCTTTAAAATATAACATGTTAAGTCAAGTTTAGTGACTAAACATTGTCTCAGAGCATGGACACTTCACACCATGCTGTTACTACGCCAACTGCCAACCGCACAGCTCTGCAGAGCAGTGTAATACAGACAGAACTTAAATCATGGAAAACCACCCCAAACTCAACGCAGCAAAGGCCAGAACACACAGAAGGCTGTGTCTCACTGCTCCCTGGCACAATGCTGCCACTACACAACCCCCTCACAACACAGCAGGCACGCAGCACCCACCCCAACGGGCATCCAACAATCCGCTGTCTTGGAAGAGAGAAGACAGGTGACAGGAGCACACACACAGGCCATTGGTGATGCCAGGGGCCAAGGTGCGTAAGTGCCGCCCATGGACAAGTGTGCATTGCACACTCCCCGTCACCCCAGGGTCAGCGGTGGCTGTCTTGTCATTTGTCACAAGTGCAGGGACCAGAATCCAGAGTCCAGGTCTGTGCTCAGCTCAGAAAGGCTCAAGTCTGTCGCCTCCTTGCTAACACTGAGGCAGGAGAGTGAGCTAGTTCACATAAATTTACTTAAATTTGAGTTAAACAAGAAATACCTTCACAAAACCAGACTGATCTGCAAGTAGAGCAGGTCCCTCTTATGGAGAGGCGTGGACTTAGGAAGGAGGACAGGGTTTTAAGGGTTCCTCACACACACCAGCCACTCTTCTCTCAGAAGTGCCACCTTCTCCCCTTCAGCCTCCTCAATTGTGTTGAACTTTTCAAAGATCCCATTTTAGATTTCATTGATTTCCACTTTAGCTAACTACCACTCTACTCCATCATTTCCCTCCATGTATGTGCTAGCTCTAAGGTTCATCAGCTCTCATTTCCAGTAGCTTTACATCAGGGGTGGGGAATCTTTCTTCTGCCCAAATTTCTAAAATCATTTGTGGGCCATACGAAATTATCAACTTAAAACTTAGCCTGCTATATTTAAGTCAAATATTTAATTCACCCCGAATGTGATGGCTCCACCACATGTCTGTCAGTTTGTCGTATTTTGGTGGCTTGTGAGTTGCTGTGATTCTGGAAGCTATACCACCGGTATTTTAAATACCAGCAGGGTCACCCATGGTGGACAGGTTTCAGATGAGATTCCAGACGAAGGCAGACGAGGAAGAAGGAGTGACGAACTACATCCGAATATTTAGTCAATGAAAACCTTATGAGTAGCAGAGAAACACTGTTAGATATAGTGACAGAAAATGAGCCCCTCAGGTTGGAAGGCACTCAAAATGCAACTGGGGTAGCGCTGCCCCATCAAAGTAGAGTTGATCGTGATGACACGAATGGAGTAAAGCCCTCGGGACCTTCATTTGCTGATGGGGCACAACTCAAAATGAAGAGACACAGCTGTAAACAGCTATTAATACTTGGAACATGGAATGCACGAACTATGAATCTAGGAAAATTGGAAATTATCAAAAATGAAATGGAATGCACAAACATCAGTATCTCAGGCATTAGTTGAAATGGAGGAGTATTGGCCATGTTGAAACTGACAAACACATGGTTTACTATGCTGGGAATGACAAATTGAAGTGGAATGGTGTTGCATTCATCATCAAAAAGAACATATCCAGATCAGTCATGAGGTACAACGCTGTCTGTGATAGGATAATATCCATGCGCCTACAGGGAAGACCAGTTAATAGCACTATTATTCAAATCTATGCACTAACCACTAATGCCAGTGAGGATGAAATAGAAGAATTCTAACAACTTCTTCAATCTGAAATCGATCAAACACGCAATCAAGATGTA